AATTCCTAAACCAAGCAATGAAGCGGATTATGACTCATGGCGATCCCAGATTGAATTGCTGCTTGCTGATCCCAGCCTTTCCAGATTGCATATTAATCGGCGAATTGTTGAAAGTTTGTTATCACCAGCTGCTGATTTGATTAAATGTTTGAGCCCTGGTGCATCACCTTCCACTCTTCTTGAAGTCCTTGATTCAGCTTTTCAGACGGTACAGGATGGAGAGGAGCTTTTTGCTCAGTTTCTGAACATTTTTCAGAATCCTGGAGAGCGGCCATCCTCTTACCTCCAGCGATTACAGCTTACTCTCAGCACTGTAATAAAAAGGGAGAATATTACCAGGAGACAAGGACATATATTTACTTAAGCAGTTCTGTCGTGGATGCTGGGACAATTCAGTCATCTCTAAGTTGCAGCTTGAGGAGAAGAAAAGCAATCCCCCACCATTTTCTGAACTCCTGTTGTCACTCCGGACAGAAGAGGACAGACAAATTGCTAAAGAATCTCTAATGAGAAAGCATATCCAGTCATCTAAACAAAAAGTGACCATTCAGTCTCAGAGTACTTGCTCTTGTGGTCATGAGACAGCTAATGAAGAGCTGAAAGAATTAAAAAAGCAGATTCAACAACTCCAAAGGCAGATGTCTTCCCTCATGTCCAGAAAGACACCTGTTAGTAAAAAATCAGAGGTACAGCAGACCAAGTTTAAGCCAAGTACCAATTATAGTTCACTTCAGACCGCTGGAAGACCAAAGGCAGGATATTGCTTTAACTGTGGTGAAGATGGCCATATTTCTTCCCATTGCAATAACAAAGCGAATCCAAGCCTTGTGGAACAAAAGAAGAAACAGCTTCGTCAGAAACAACAAGCATGGGATGAAAAGAAATCGAGCCAGCAGTTAAACTAAATGCAGTTCCTGCTGAGGGACACTCAGGAGCTGCTACCATCAGCTGTCCCGAATCCCATTCTGAATTGTCCTGTGTATTACCCAAGGGTCTCATTGGTATGAAGAGCATGGGCCAGATTCAAATAAAAGGAACCCCCTTCAGCTGTCTTCTTGACAGTGGGTCGCAAGTCACTACAGTACCCCATTCATTCTATAATGCGCACCTTTTTGACCATGAAATTATGCCTCTGAACAATCTGTTGGAAGTTGAGGGTGCTAATGGCCAAAATGTACCATACCTTGGGTACATTGAATTAAATTTGACTTTTCCACCTGAATTTCTTGGTTCACCAATTGAAGTGGACACCTTAGCTCTGGTGGTCCCAGATACCAAAACCACACATCCACTTCTACTAGTAGGCACAAATACCCTTGACATTGCTTACAAGAAGCACCTTGAGAGCCAGGGTACTACTTTTAAACCCACTGCCTTTGGGTATCAAACTGTCCTGAAGATCCTGCAGCACAGGCATACTCAAACTGCATCTGAACATCCAGTTGTCCTAACTCTGCAGCCTGACCAACCACAAATGATATTATCTGGCCAAACTGTTGTCCTTGAGGGATGTTTGACCACACAGTCATTGAAGGAAGAGAAGGTGGTTGTTGTCGAATACCCAGCCTCTTCCTGTCTGCCTGGGGGACTTATGGTTAATACCTGTCTCATTAACATACCTCAACATCGGCCTTGTCACCTGCCAGTTGTGGTAACTAATGAGTCAGACCATCCAGTCATCATCCCCGCAAGAGCAGCGATTGCAGAGATTGCTGCGTTCCAGTCTGTTATTTCAAAAGAGCACAATGTTAAAATCCATAAGTCTGCAGAGCCATTAACAACTCAGCTTCAATACAATTTTGGAGAATCACCTCTAACATCAGAATGGAAAAGTCGGATTATTTCAAAGCTCAACAATATACCAGAGGTTTTTGCCAAACACGACCTTGATTTTGGTCGAACAGACAAGGTGAAACATCAAATTAAATTGTCTGACCCTACACCGTTTAAACAAAGACCACGTCCTATACATCCACAGGATGTGGATGCTGTGAGAAAACATCTGCAAGAATTGCTTGAGTCTGGAATAATCCGTGAATCGGAGTCTCCATTTGCCTCACCCATTGTGGTGGTTCGCAAGAAGAATGGCTCTGTACGCCTCTGTATTGATTATCGGAAACTCAATATGCAAACCATTAAAGATGCTTATGCCCTTCCGAAGCTAGAAGATGCATTCACTGCACTGGCAGGCTCTAAATGGTTCTCTGTGCTGGACCTAAAATCTGGATATTACCAGATAGAAATGGAAGAAGCTGATAAGAACAAAACAGCCTTTGTTTGTCCTTTAGGCTTCTGGGAATTTAATCGCATGCCACAGGGAGTAACCAATGCTCCAAGCACTTTTCAACGACTTATGGAAAAATGTATGGGTGAGCTCAATCTGAAAGAAGTCCTGGTTTTTATTGACGATTTGATCATCTTCGCACCAACTCTTGAAGAACACGAAGAAAGATTAATGAAAGTCCTAAACAAATTAAAGGACTTTGGACTAAAACTGTCCATTGAAAAATGTGTCTTCTTCCAAACTTCAGTGAAGTATCTTGGCCATGTTGTGTCCAAGGATGGTGTGGAGACGGATCCTGATAAAATTTCCACTCTTGCATCTTGGCCGGTGCCAAAAAACTTGAAGGAATTAAGATCGTTCCTGGGATTTGCAGGGTATTATCGGCGATTTGTGAAAGATTATTCTACAATCGTCAAGCCACTACATGACCTTACCGCTGGCTATCCACCTAGCCGAAAGAAACTAAAACCTATGTTGAAACCCCAGAATTATTTTAACCCAAAAGAGGTTTTTGCTGAACGTTGGACTGAATCCTGTCAGCATGCATTTAAAACCATTATTGAAAAACTCACTACTGCTCCTGTATTGGTATTTGCAGATCCGAGCAAGCCATACATTCTTCATACTGATGCCAGTTCAGCAGGCCTTGGAGCAGTGCTATATCAAGAAAATGATGGAAAAAATCGAGTTGTAGCCTATGCAAGCAGAGGTCTGTCTAAAAGTGAATCAAACTACCCAGCCCATAAATTAGAATTCCTGGCACTTAAATGGGCAGTGACTGAGAAGTTTAATGACTACCTTTATGGCACACAATTCACTGTGGTCACAGACAGCAACCCGTTGACCTATCTGTTGACATCAGCTAAGCTTGATGCTACAAGTTATAGATGGCTCTCTGCTCTGTCCACATTTACCTTTAAGATTGTCTACAGGGCAGGAAAACTGAATGCTGATGCTGATGGGCTGTCCCGACGACCACATTCTGAAATGCCTGATGATTTTAAGTCTTGTAAAGAAAGGGAGAGAGTGTTAAAGTTTGTTCAACATCATCTCGAGGAACCAGGTTGCACCTCAGTTGACCAACAAATGGTTGAAGCCATCTGTGACCGCCAACTGGTGTTCAGCTCAAACAATGACCATGCCCTTGTTCTCTCTTTGTCTGCTCATGTGGAAAGTCTACCTGACAGCTACACAGACGACACCCAATTTGCCACCTCTGTTCTCCCTCGGTTCTCCACTGCTGATCTTGCTGCCAAACAACGAGCTGATTCCACCATCCAACATGTGATTGCTCAGCTTGAGAGAGGGGAATCTCCACCGCCAGCACTGAGAGATGTACTTCCAGATCTGCCACTCCTGTTGAGAGAAGTAAATAAAATGGAGCTCCGTAACAACCTTCTTCTCAGGAGACGGCAAGTGGGAAACAGTGTAACATATCAGTTAGTGTTACCAGAAGAGTGTCGGCATATGGTGATGTTTCAGCTTCATGATCGTATGGGCCACCTTGGGATCGAGAGGACCTTAGACCTAATTCGTTCTCGGTTTTTCTGGCCACGAATGTCTACTGACATTTATAATAAAATCAAGACCTGTGAACGATGTGTAAAAGGAAAACCTTACCAGAACGGGCTGCACCTCTCGTTAACATCAAGACTTCAAGACCTCTAGAGTTAGTGTGCATGGACTTCTTGTCTTTGGAGCCAGACCGAAGAGTGAAAGATATCCTTGTGATTACAGATCATTTCACAAAATATGCTGTCGCTGTTCCAACACCAAATCAGAAAGCTCGAACTGTTGCTAAATGCTTGTGGGAAAATTTCTTTGTCCACTATGGCATTCCAGAGAGACTACATAGTGACCAAGGACCGGATTTTGAGTCCCGTACCATCAAAGAACTTTGTGATATTGCTGGCATCCATAAAGGAAGGACAACTCCCTATCACCCGAGAGGTAACCCTGTGGAAAGATTCAATCGTACTCTACTTAACATGCTGGGGACATTAAGTGAGCAGAATAAATCACGATGGAAAGATTTTGTAAAACCACTTGTGCATGCATATAATTGCACTAAGAATGATGTCACAGGGTTTTCGCCATACGAACTAATGTTTGGTCGTCAACCTCGTCTTCCCATAGATGTGGCTTTTGGGTTACCGCTGGAAGAGGATACCTCCACCTCTCACCTGCAATATGTCCAAGGATTGAAAGCACGTCTACAAGACAGTTATCAGTTGGCTGTGAAGAACTCTGAGAAAGTGATGTCCCGCAACAAAACCTCCTTCGATCGGCATGTCACTGTTTCTGAACTTGCCGTGGGAGACAGGGTCCTTGTTAGGAACGTCCGACTGAGAGGAAAGCAGAAATTGGCTGACAAATGGGAACCTGATATGTATGTAGTGGTGGAGAGGGCTGGCAATCTCCCTGTTTACACTGTAAAACCAGAGAACCAGGATAAACCTCTCAGAACACTCCATCGTGATCTTTTGTTGCCTTGTAATTACTTACCTGAGCAGAGCTCTGAAAAAAACTTACCTGTGAAGAAGAAAAAACATCTGCCTGTGAACTTACCTGATCCTGACAATGAAGAAACATTTGAGGATGAGATGATCTCACCTTCATATGATCCCTTTTCCTTCGAGCCTGTGAAATTCATCACTGCTGTTAATTTACCATTGCCACCTGTCCAGAAATCTGTTCCACCTGCAGATCTACCTGAAGTTCCTGATCAGCCCCCATCCTCTGCTGCAGAAGAGGATTTAGAACAGGAACTTCTAGTGGTTACAGAGGAGCAAAAGGAATTTCAACCTTTGGACAGAGAGGTGATATCCATCAGTTCAAGATCTGATGATTCTGCAAGAGATGCTGCAGGAGGCCCTGCAGCTCAGGGAAATCCTGCTCCTGAGCCAGTCACTCCAGAGCCTTCCACTAACAATATTGAACTAGAAGTGGACTTAAATGTTCACCCAGAACCATCAAGCCCTGAAACAGAACCATCAAGCCCTGAAACAGAACCATCAACCCCTGAAACAGAACCATCAACCCCTGAAACAGAACCATCAACCCCTGAAACAGAACCATCAACCCCTGAAACAGAACCATCAAGCCCCGAATCAGAACCATCTTTGCGGAGGTCAGTCCGAGCAAGAAGACCACCAGAACGTCTACAGTACTCTCAACTGGGTCACCCACTGTTGAAGAGCATCCAGTTATTGTTTCATGGGCTGACCACTGCATTTACGCATGCTCTTGAAGGGACTGAGGAGGATGAACCCATGACTGTTCCTGTTGTCATTCAAACGCAACCCGGTCCATGTACGGGGACGTGCATGAGATCAGGGGGGGAACCTGTAACCCATGTGACCGACATGACCCAATCACCTTCCCTTTAAGCCCATCCCTTTAAGTTCATTGTCATGTGTGTTTCCGGGTTGGCTGCTGCTCACTGTTGGTTGTCGCGTCCGTTGTTGATAAAACAACTTGAAGTTATAAATCAACTCATCACTCATTTAATCTAAACTCAACTTTGAAGATTTCTGGTGAGTTGTTAAATACGATCTGACTTGACATATTGTATTTGCAATAATAGCGCCGCTAACATTCCCTCCCATTGCAATATTCGCCCATTAACAGCTGGAACACCTTCCTGAATTGAACAAGTTACCATTGCATCCACCTCCTCAGACAATCCGTTACTCGACGGTGAGTAAATAACAGTCATTTACAGTAGGCCGTTACTTTTGCTACGCTCCGCCAATTAGCATTAGCTACCAACTCGACAATCAGGGGCCACATCATTTAGTCTATTTATGAATTATTTACTTAATGACAAGTCACACTGTTTCAGCCGAATTAAAGACTACCCCTTTAATACTTAAAGGTTTCCCTTTTAACTTTAGATTTGATTATTTTTCATGATTTCTTTGTTGGTGTTGTTTTCTATGCTGGTGCAGCAATGAAGTCTGGTATCCAACATGATTTGTTGTAGCTACTTTGATCAATCACATTTTTAAATTGATTGATTTTGATTCAATATTAGTTGTTTGCAATGACTGCTAATTATGTCAATTAAGAAACTTTGAACTTGAATTATGAAGTGCACTTTTTAAAAGGATTTTTTCCTTATTATAATGAAATTGTCAAAACATAGCAAGTATGTATTTGTTTTATAAAATGTAACATTTATATATGAACTTAATGTGTGTTTGCTGGCCTTTTAGGTCAGGTTTTTTTTTCTTCCGGACTCCTGCACGGATACATTGGATGACGGAAGATGGCGAGCTACCCACCCACCATCTGGTGGTAGGAAACAGAACTACACTTTCCATATAGGAACTGAACAGACTCTAAGGAGTATCAAAAAAAAAGGGAAAATAACTATTCTCCCTTCATTTTTGGACCTCTTGTGGACTCTATTAGGTTTTGAAGTGTCACTGACAAGTGTTTTGTTTGTTTTCTATTTTCCTGTTTTTTTAGAACTTTATTTATTTATTTTTGTTGTTTTGGTATTATCATTATCATTATTATTATTATTATTATTATTATTATTATTGTTATTATTATTACTATTATTATTATTGCCACTGCAATAAATAGCAGTATTAACAAACCTTTTTTTGGCATCAATTGTATTAATTATTCACCCAATCATGACTCCATGTCGTACCTACTTCTGATCTACAAACTGGTTAACACTATACCTTGCAGTCAGATCTGCGCATCAAAAGAAAGCGTTACATGTAACATCAGCCGCAACAGCAGGTAAAACCGGGACTGTATGTGTGATCCTGATTTTGTACGGAAAGAACTTGATAACACGTCACTTCCACCAAGAGCAGAGAAAACGTTTGGATTTGGCCCCAGAAAGGACGTCTTCCCACTAACAGCAAAGGAACCAAGTCTAACTCATAAAAACTCTTTAACAGGGAGCAGAGTTTAGCTTCAAAGCAGAAACACTGAGATGGATTCTTCCTGCTCTCTGGTGTCCCACAGCAGTACACAATCATCCATCCAGTCCTCTGATGAAACCCACTCTGCACAAAACAAACCAAAAAATTCATTAAAAATAAATAATACCAAATATTTCACCACTAAAATAACAGCATTACAAAAACAGTAATTTTATGTAATGTATCGTTGTCGCTATGACTACAGATCAGGCTAAGACACATAATGAACTTTTTATAAATCTAGAGTTGTGTTATAGAATCAGAGGTATAGTTCAGGTGAACATTTTTCAAAATAAGAGCATCCTCTTGAGGAACTTCAGATGAACTATCCTGTGATGGTGAGACCAGGAACCCGGGGCGTCCGGGACCCGGGGCGTCCAGGACCCGGGGCGTCCGGGACCCGGGCGTCCGGGACCCGGGGCGTCCGGGACCCGGGGCGTCCGGGACGCGGGGCGTCCGGTGGCGTCCGGGACCCGGGCGTCCGGGACCCGGGGCGTCCGGGACCCGGGGCGTCCGGGACCCGGGGCGTCCGGGACCCGGGGCGTCCGGGACCCGGGGCGTCCGGGACCCGGGGCGTCCGGGACCCGGGGCGTCCGGTGGCGTCCGGGACCCGGGGCGTCCGGGACGCGGGGCGTCCGGGACCCGGGGCGTCCGGGACCCGGGGCGTCCGGGACCCGGGGCGTCCGGGACCCGGGGCGTCCGGGACCCGGGGCGTCCGGGACCCGGGGCGTCCGGGACCCGGGCGGGTGGCGTCCGGGACCCGGGGGCGCCTTTGTAAAGTGAAAAGTTGTGTCAGTGAGAATGAGAGCTACATAGATTAGCCAAACTTTGCTAATGGCTGTGTCTCTGCTCGTCTCTCCGGCGAGTCAAACTGGCAGCCGCATGACTTCAGCAAATGTTAGAGTAAACTTTCTTTCTCAGCTGTTTTTCTCCTCTGCCTGGTGACTAAAACAAAAATAAACACTGAAAAAGTTTCCAAAGTATTTCACTTGTTTCCCTTTAAAGTGTCACTTTGAGAGGCGGCTCCCTGTTCCAGCTTTCATTCAAAGCGTTCTGCTGACCTGCAGCCGTGAAGAGGACTCAAAACTCCTTCAGCAGAAATGAGACAAATCCCTCAAAGCTCGATGGTTTGGCCTAAATACTGAGCCGGATTAAAACTGCTCATTTCAGCTACAATAATTATGTGACTGGATATTATGACAGACGTAACAATCTGCGGTCAGTTTAATGGAGAGAGCTGAAGAGGTACTTAAAGAGGTTTTCTCTGCCGAGATAAATAAGACAAATTAAAAAACTCACTCCACTTTCTCTGCCCTGAACACCAGATTATGGATTATTATTGAAGCACATTATTGGTCCTATCAGAGAAGCTGCAGTTGGTGAATGAATGTCGGACAGTTTTCCAGTCACAGCTCATGAAATCTAGACCTGCCTAGACATGTTTCACCCGTTTCATGCAGGTGAAACTCCAGGACAGGCCTCCAGTCCATCAGGGGGCGACAGAGACAAACAGGACAGACATTCATCCACACACTGAGAGGCCCGACGAGGACAGAACGAAGTCGGACTATCGATGTGATGTCACGAGGTAAACAGAACGCCGGCGGCCATCTTTACAGAGCGCCTACCTTTAGCTCTCATAGTTCAATGCAACACATATCATCCTGATCTCACACAAACCATACTTCTTCAAAATGACGATTCTGTGGCCGAACTCTGACTCCTGAGGGACACCACAAGGATTTTCCTTGGGCAGAGAAACTGCCAAACATGTCACAATCTTCATCCAATCATTTCCTTTATCCTGAAGCCATTGTGCTAACTAACTGTACATTTTGATCAACAATATCAAAATTGATTGTAATATCAATGAAAACTTGGATTATAGGTTCACGGGGTGTAAATACTTTTTCTGTCCACCATAGCACGCTGTCTATTGATGAGTCATAAATATAAATAAAATCGCAGTATTTCTGAGCTCCAAGCTTCGCTCTAATTCCATAACTGGCATCAGGCTGAGATCCTGAGAGCCAAGTGGTGAATTTTGATTTACCACCAGCTATGCTGAAATTCTGCTAAAGCAGCATGAAAACCTTTCCTTCCTGTCTCCTCTGGAGCTTTAATCCCACCTGAAGGAGACGGAGCGCCCAGCGAACACCTGGTTATTCCTCACAGCAACCGCAGAAACCAGGAAACGCAGTTTGTTTCCGTCTGAACGTCCTGGAACCATCCGAGAATATTTTCATGTTTCAATGTCCGATACGCTCCGATTCAGAGCTCTGAGAAACAAACATCAGCCCACCTGCTGTTTCCTCTCAATGAAATATTTCACAGAAACAAACACTTTATGCTTTCATAACATAAATTTTGTTGAAATGATTGTTCATGCAGAAATTTAAATAAATGAAGTGAAACATGTTTTATTTCAATTGATATTAAAGTTATTGTAACATTCAGGTTTTCTGCAGTTTCCCCACAAACAGAGGAAATCTTTTAGTCTTTCAGTCCAGGCTGCAGCGTTCTGTGGATCCCGGGTCAGACGGATCGTGTTGGTGTCAAATGCCTCTGACCTTTTGACCCCAGGGGCCACAGACATTTGGACGGGCAGAAACCCAGACCGGCTGCCTGGCAATGCAGAGACACGAAGACAAGGCTGAGCGATCAGATCTGCTAGCTTCCCTGCAAGGCGACGCCGACGGCCAAAACACCAGGATGAGAAACAAAAAAATAGATTCTGAAGAAAAAACAAGAACACCTGGAAGTTAGGAGACTTAACAGAAACAAAATGGTTTTTATGTTTCAGATCTTTAAATTGTTTCACGTTTGATGGAGGATCAGATGCTGGATCGGACCAGAAGTGCTTCACACACTTTACATGATTTCTCTGTGTTTATGTCCAGATCATTAATCTATAATGCTGTTTATTTAAAGGGCCAGCCACATCAATTAGCAGGATTACTTCAGTCTGCATGTAAATGAGCCACATTTAGCCACACAGGCTCATCTCATAAAATCCACATCATTAATAAAATAAGGAAAAAGAACATTGGAAATTAATCTCAAACCAGAGAGATAACTATTAATATAAATGGAGAACATGATCTGATATCAAAATGCAGATTCATTCATAAAGAGCTTTAAAAGAGGCTTTTAGGTTCTTATGATGATAATGAAACCAGGATCAGTGGCACTTCAGTCCTTCATAATGTGTTGTTGTAATAACAGTAAAAGCGTGAGGCTTGGAGAGCAGCAGACTGCCGGCGGCTGGAGGCCGAGGCGACAAGCTGCCAACCACAGCAAAACTCAAACGGTCTGACATTTTTTTAACTTTCCCCTAAACCCACAGGCAGCTGCTTCAAACCTGCAGAATAAAGGTCTCTTCATTTCCCCCTCAGAAAACCGACAGACAGGAAAGTTTCACACTTTGCTTGGAAACAAAGTGACTCTTCATGTGGAGCAATAAGAACAACAAACTGGTGCTTTTCTCTGCTTCTGCCTTCATAGAAAAATAAAACGCAGCTCATCCGCAGTGTTGTCATGCCAACAATTGTTTTTCCAAAATTAGAAAAATTACAGCTCACATTAATTTATTCAAGGAATTTTTTACAACACAATTTAAATAACGCCTTGAGGCAACGAATCCAACTGCAGTTATGGGAAACACTGTTTTAAATATATTTGCTCATAACTTCATTAATTTATGGTCAGCAAACAGACTGTTTACTGTGGAAATACAGCAATGCATTCTGGGTACAGGATAAACATCAGGGAGAGAACCTGAGGAGAGGAAACGGATCGGTCTTCAGCACTTCAAAATAAGAGCATGAATATAAACGACAGATGTTAAACTTTATTTAACTGCAAGTTTACCAAAAACAGAACATAATTCCTGGAAAAATTCATTTAGAGGAAGCTAAATACGTTAAAAATGTTTAGCGTGTTAGCAAAAACGCTGACGCGCTAAACAAAGCCAATCTGCTAATGTTAGCGCATTAGCTGAAGTGTGTAGAGAGGATTTGGTATTTAGTTTCAATAACAAGGCATAAATATTTATTCTGCTATGTTAGTTTATTCTAGTCAACCTGGCACTGACAGCAGCTCTGGCCTAGTTAAAGTAACGAGCTGATCACAGTCTAGAAACTATTCTTATTCATAGAACCTGTTCAGCATTTATACATTTAATGTTTCTTTCTTGGGGAAAAGATTTGGAAATGTTAGTTTGTTCCAAACTGCTCAGAAAACATCAGGACTCCTGAACGTCTTCTGGAAGCCATTGCTGTGAAATAGCAGCTTTTATTGGAGCGGCGAGATTTTATTTTATTAGCATATGAAGCAGTCGGAGCAAAAACAAGCCTCTGATGGCTCTTATGTTCTCCGTGGTTTATATGTTTGCTTTCTTAATGCTACATTTTCAGGCCCAAGACTCTACAACAGAGAAGAGCTTCATAAAGTGAACATAAAGTGAAAGCCAATGAATGCAGTCATTAGTCTCTCATCTTGTAGAAGGAGCCGCGCCGTGTAAGTAACACGCTATGAGGCCGACTGGCACGACAAACACAAAGATGTTGTTGGAGCATCTAATGGTCGTCCTGTTATGATGAAGGTTGGAAATAAGAGCTGCTTCAGTAACCCAGTTAAAGTTAATGAGCTGCGAAACTCTGAGACGTTTCTGTGACGAAGATTCAGCCACAGAAACTGGAGACGCAACAGCAAACAGGTGAATCAGCAGCAGGTAAATGCATGAAATAAAAATATTACATCCTTTTGATGTGACTCAGTTTGCTTTACCTCCCAAATAAATATGAAAGAACGACGGCAAGAGAACCGACTTCACTGAAGCATCTCTAATGTTCCCAACCACAGAGGAATAGGGAACCCGTCCTTCTGTCCCTCCCTCTGTCTGTCTTTCCGTCTGTCCTTCTGTCCCTCCCTCCGTCTGTCTCTCCGTCTGTCCTTCTGTCCCTCCCTCTGTCTGTCTTTCCGTCTGTCCCTCCCTCCGTCTGTCCCTCCCTCCGTCTGTCTCTCCGTCTGTCTGTCTTTCCGTCTGTCCCTCCCTCCGTCTGTCTCTCCGTCTGTCTGTCTTTCCGTCTGTCCCTCCCTCCGTCTGTCTCTCCGTCTGTCCCTCCCTCCGTCTGTCTCTCCGTCTGTCCCTCCCTCCGTCTGTCTCTCCGTCTGTCTGTCTTTCCGTCTGTCCCTCCCTCTGTCTGTCTCTCCGTCTGTCCCTCCCTCCGTCTGTCTCTCCGTCTGTCCCTCCCTCCGTCTGTCTCTCCGTCTGTCCCTCCCTCTGTCTGTCTCTCCGTCTGTCCCTCCCTCTGTCTGTCTCTCCGTCTGTCCCTCCCTCTGTCTGTCTCTCCGTCTGTCCCTCCCTCTGTCTGTCTCTCCGTCTGTCCCTCCCTCTGTCTGTCTCTCCGTCTGTCCCTCTGTCCCTCCCGCTGTCTGTCTCTCCGTCTGTCCCTCTGTCCCTCCCTCTGTCTGTCTCTCCGTCTGTCCCTCCCTCTGTCTGTCTTTCCGTCTGTCCCTCCCTCCGTCTGTCTCTCCGTCTGTCCCTCCCTCTGTCTGTCTCTCCGTCTGTCCTTCTGTCCCTCCCTCTGTCTGTCTCTCTGTCTCTCCGTCTGTCCCTCCCGCTGTCTGTCTCTCCGTCTGTCCCTCCCTCTGTCTGTCTTTCCGTCTGTCCCTCCCTCCGTCTGTCTCTCCGTCTGTCCCTCCCTCCGTCTGTCTCTCCGTCTGTCCCTCCCTCTGTCTGTCTCTCCGTCTGTCCGTCTGTCCCTCCCTCTGTCTGTCTCTCTGTCTGTCCGTCTGTCCCTCCCTCTGTCTGTCTCTCCGTCTGTCCCTCCCTCTGTCTGTCTCTCCGTCTGTCCCTCCCTCCGTCTGTCTCTCCGTCTGTCCCTCCCTCTGTCTGTCTCTCCGTCTGTCTCGTCCTGTCAATCGTCTCTTCCTTCATCCCACTAAAGCTCCTTAACAAGATCCTCCTCTGATTGAGACCAACTCCCAGCTGGAAGGGAGAAACCACCTTCCTGAACTTCAGAACCGTTTCCTCGGTCTGAGACCGGCTGACTCTCATCCACCCAACAGAACCGCAGCGACCGGGTTTGGGTTGTCGGTTCACCTTCGGCTCCTCTGCATGCTCAGCGGATCAAGAGGCGGCCGCACTGGGAACGGCTCCACTCTGTGCCAACAATGTGAGCACAGCTCTTATTAAAATAATATTTAAAACAAAATCAAATCCCTTCAACGCATCATGCAGAGGATCAGGAAATGATCCCCATTTAGGCAGCAAACACACGTTGCTAATCTTTACGTGAACTCAAACAAAGTACAGGAACCATTCTGTCTGTTAAGAATTAAAAAGAGGAATAACTTGATTTAGCTCGTTAATTCATTCCTCTGATCCCAAACTCTTGTGCCTCAATATGCGCAGGGAGGAAGAGCAATCAGACGACAGCTGACTTCAGATATTTCCAGAGTTTTATCCAAAAGAATTCAATGCAATACAGAATGTTACAACAGCATTACACCGGATTATCAAAAAGTCCAACACATGACAAACATAGAATTACCTGAGTTGAAAGGGAAACAGAAAGAAAAGATGCATTTTTTGGAAATCTCTCACTCAGCACAAAGAGATTCAAACTTCTGCTGTGAAACAAACCATTTTATACGAATGTGTATCTCCTCATTTAAATATATGCATTAGGAGGTGTGTTTTTCCTCGTGGGCCTTCCTATTGATTTTATTACCTCTGAGACCCACTGAAACACCCAGCTCTTCTCCTACCAGGCTCCTTTAGGTGATCTGATTTACGGTGGGGGTCTGCAGCGTTATCTCTGCCTCAAGATGATTCAACAACCAGTTGTGTTTTAAACAAACTCGCACAAAATCTATTGCTCAATACTAACTATCAGTTGGATCTAAAACTAACTAATTAAAACATGCTTTTTAATGCTTAAAGAATATACCAATATGTTTGATTATATGTTGTAACAGACTTCTATAGTTTTTAATGTTTGCCTGAACTATTCAACCCTGAGTAAGAATTTATTGCCCTGATAGCCGATACACTCCCTGTCTGAAATGTTCCTTAAGGAGTATAAGACTGCTTTCTGATTAGACATTTATGTAAGTTCAGAGAGTCACCAGCTGTCTTAGTTTGGATTTGTATCTAAGTTTACCAGCCATAAATTCTACTCCTAAAAATTAATGCTACATCTAATATTTTGTATGTCTAAAGATTAGCTGTCTCTATAATTATGCTAACTAAACTTATATTCTCAACACTGTGTGTTGTGCTTGCAGAATGAATGTGTTTCACTTTTAAAGCTGGTCTGGATGCACCAGACCAGCTGATTGTTTTCTGCGCCTCTAAGCGTGTTGGAGCGGATCTTACCTGATGCTCTGTGTCTCCAGGACGTCTGGGTCTGAGGCGTTGAGTGACGCCACGAAGCTCCCCACTGGGATGTTCTCCATCCTGGTGACCACCAGGGGGTCCGGGAAGAAGACGGGTCCCTCGTTGATGTCCTCCACTGTGACGTGGACGGTCGCTGTGGAGCTGGGGCCGTAGCCGATGTCGGGAACCAGAGGATCCTCGTTCTCCACTCTGATGAGCAGCGTGTGTGGAACGCCGAGGTCTCGTAGTCCAGAGGCTGAAGAGGAGAAACGATGGAGAACAACGAACTTTGGGTTTTATCCATGAGCTCAGAAATGCTGCAGTCGCCTCACCTTGACCACTGACAGCATTCCTTCGTTGTCGTCTGGGTTGGTTTGGACCTCAAAGCTCTGCTCGGGATCTCCGCTGATGATGGAGTACGTGGCTCGCCAGGCGCCGGTGGCCGGGTCGTCCCGGTCGTCCACCGTCAGGTTGACCACGACGCCTCGGGAGCCTTCGTGCACACGAGCCTCAAACTGACGGGAAAACCGCAGAGGCAAACATGAGGGAGCAGAAAACCAGTGCTGGACCTGGGAGGTTCTGGAGAAGACGCTCAGAAACGGCTTCATTCAGAACATTACAGAATGTCTGCAGAGAAACGCTGGAAACAATCAAACATTTCAAATTCTTGCTCACAGAAGAAACAGCCACAAAATCTTCATTTCATCAGGAGGAAAAAATGAAGATTTTCCTGCCATGTGGATGAAAAGTGCATCAGAGAGAGTGTGTTTCAGTTAAACTGTGTGTGTGGTGTGTGTTTCAGTTAAACTGTGTGTGTGTTTCAGTTAAACTGTGTGTGTGTGTGTGTTTCAGTTAAACTGTGTGTGTGTGTGTGTTTCAGTTAAACTGTGTGTGTGTGTTTCAGTTAAACTGTGTGTGTGTGTTTCAGTTAACTGTGTGTGTGTGTGTGTTTCAGTTAAACTGTGTGTGTGTGTGTGTGTGTTTCAGTTAAACTGTGTGTGTGTGTGTGTTTCAGTTAAACTGTGTGTGTGTGTTTCAGTTAAACTGTGTGTGTGTGTTTCAGTTAAACTGTGTGTGTGTGTGTGTTTCAGTTAAACTGTGTGTGTGTGTGTTTCAGTTAAACTGTGTGTGTGTGTGTTTCAGTTAAACTGTGTGTGTGTGTGTTTCAGTTAACTGTGTGTGTGTGTGTGTGGTTTCAGTTAAACTGTGTGTGTGTGTTTCAGTTAAACTGTGTGTGTGTGTTTCAGTTAAACTGTGTGTGTGTGTTTCAGTTAAACTGTGTGTGTGTGTGTGTTTCAGTTAAACTGTGTGTGTGTGTGTTTCAGTTAAACTGTGTGTGTGTGTGTTTCAGTTAAACTGTGTGTGTGTGTGTGTGTTTCAGTTAAACTGTGTGTGTGTGTTTCAGTTAAACTGTGTGTGTGTGTGTGTGTGTTTCAGTTAAACTGTGTGTGTGTGTTTCAGTTAAACTGTGTGTGTGTGTGTGTGTGTGTGTGTGTTTCAGTTAAACTGTGTGTGTGTGTGTGTGTGTGTGTTTCAGTTAAACTGTGTGTGTGTGTTTCAGTTAAACTGTGTGTGTGTGTGTGTTTCAGTTAAACTGTGTGTGTGTGTGTGTTTCAGTTAAACTGTGTGTGTGTGTGTGTTTCAGTTAAACTGTGTGTGTGTGTGTGTTTCAGTTAAACTGTGTGTGTGTGTTTCAGTTAAACTGTGTGTGTGTGTTTCAGTTAAACTGTGTGTGTGTGTGTGTGTGTTTCAGTTAAACTGTGTGTGTGTGTTTCAGTTAAACTGTGTGTGTGTGTGTTTCAGTTAAACTGTGTGTGTGTGTTTCAGTTAAACTGTGTGTGTGTGTGTGGTGTGTTTCAGTTAAACTGTGTGTGTGTGTTTCAGTTAAACTGTGTGTGTGTGTGTTTCAGTTAAACTGTGTGTGTGTGTGTTTCAGTTAAACTGTGTGTGTGTGTGTGTGTGTGTGTGTGTGTGTGTTTCAGTTAAACTGTGTGTGTGTGTGTGTGTGTGTGTGTGTGTTTCAGTTAAACTGTGTGTGTGTGTGTGTGTGTGTGTGTGTGTGTGTTTCAGTTAAACTGTGTGTGTGTGTTTCAGTTAAACTGTGTGTGTGTGTTTCAGTTAAACTGTGTGTGTGTGTGTGTTTCAGTTAAACTGTGTGTGTGTGTGTGTGTGTGTTTCAGTTAAACTGTGTGTGTGTGTGTGTGTTTCAGTTAAACTGTGTGTGTGTGTGTGTTTCAGTTAAACTGTGTGTGTGTGTGTGTGTGTTTCAGTTAAACTGTGTGTGTGTGTGTGTTTCAGTTAAACTGTGTGTGTGTGTTTCAGTTAAACTGTGTGTGTGTGTGTGTGTGTTTCAGTTAAACTGTGTGTGTGTGTGTGTGTGTGTGTGTTTCAGTTAAACTGTGTGTGTGTGTGTGTGTTTGTGTTTCAGTTAAACTGTGTGTGTGTGTGTGTTTCAGTTAAACTGTGTGTGTGTGTTTTCAGTTAAACTGTGTGTGTGTGTTTCAGTTAAACTGTGTGTGTGTGTGTTTCAGTTAAACTGTGTGTGTGTGTTTCAGTTAAACTGTGTGTGTGTGTGTGTTTCAGTTAAACTGTGTGTGTGTGTGTGTGTGTGTTTCAGTTTAAACTGTGTGTGTGTGTGTTTCAGTTAAACTGTGTGTGTGTGTGTGTGTGTGTGTGTTTCAGTTAAACTGTGTGTGTGTGTGTGTGTGTGTGTGTTTCAGTTAAACTGTGTGTGTGTGTTTCAGTTAAACTGTGTGTGTGTGTGTGTGTTTCAGTTAAACTGTGTGTGTGTGTGTGTGTTTCAGTTAAACTGTGTGTGTGTGTGTTTTCAGTTAAACTGTGTGTGTGTGTGTGTTTCAGTTAAACTGTGTGTGTGTGTTTCAGTTAAACTGTGTGTGTGTTTCAGTTAAACTGTGTGTGTGTGTGTGTGTTTCAGTTAAACTGTGTGTGTGTGTGTTTCAGTTAAACTGTGTGTGTGTGTGTGTTTCAGTTAAACTGTGTGTGTGTGTGTTTCAGTTAAACTGTGTGTGTGTGTTTTCAGTTAAACTGTGTGTGTGTGTGTGTGTGTTTCAGTTAAACTGTGTGTGTGTTTCAGTTAAACTGTGTGTGTGTGTTTCAGTTAAACTGTGTGTGTGTGTGTTTCAGTTAAACTGTGTGTGTGTGTGTGTTTCAGTTAAACTGTGTGTGTGTGTGTGTGTGTGTGTGTGTGTGTTTCAGTTAAACTGTGTGTGTGTGTGTGTGTGTGTGTGTGTGTGTTTCAGTTAAACTGTGTGTGTGTGTGTGTGTGTGTGTGTGTGTGTTTCAGTTAAACTGTGTGTGTGTGTTTCAGTTAAACTGTGTGTGTGTGTTTCAGTTAAACTGTGTGTGTGTGTGTGTGTTTCAGTTAAACTGTGTGTGTGTGTGTGTGTGTTTCAGTTAAACTGTGTGTGTGTGTGTGTGTGTTTCAGTTAAACTGTGTGTGTGTGTGTGTTTCAGTTAAACTGTGTGTGTGTGTGTGTGTGTTTCAGTTAAACTGTGTGTGTGGTGTGTGTTTCAGTTAAACTGTGTGTGTGTGTTTCAGTTAAACTGTGTGTGTGTGTGTGTGTGTTTCAGTTAAACTGTGTGTGTGTGTGTGTGTGTGTGTGTTTCAGTTAAACTGTGTGTGTGTGTGTGTGTGTGTGTTTCAGTTAAACTGTGTGTGTGTGTGTGTTTCAGTTAAACTGTGTGTGTGTGTTTCAGTTAAACTGTGTGTGTGTGTTTCAGTTAAACTGTGTGTGTGTGTGTTTCAGTTAAACTGTGTGTGTGTGTTTCAGTTAAACTGTGTGTGTGTGTGTTTCAGTTAAACTGTGTGTGTGTGTGTGTGTTTCAGTTAAACTGTGTGTGTGTGTGTGTTTCAGTTAAACTGTGTGTGTGTGTGTGTGTGTGTGTTTCAGTTAAACTGTGTGTGTGTGTTTTCAGTTAAACTGTGTGTGTGTGTGTGTGTTTCAGTTAAACTGTGTGTGTGTTTCAGTTAAACTGTGTGTGTGTGTTTCAGTTAAACTGTGTGTGTGTGTGTGTTTCAGTTAAACTGTGTGTGTGTGTTTCAGTTAAACTGTGTGTGTGTGTGTGTTTCAGTTAAACTGTGTGTGTGTGTGTGTTTCTGTTAAACTGTGTGTGTGTGTGTGTGTTTCAGTTAAACTGTGTGTGTGTGTTTCAGTTAAACTGTGTGTGTGTGTGTGTGTTTCAGTTAAACTGTGTGTGTGTGTTTCAGTTAAACTGTGTGTGTGTGTTTCAGTTAAACTGTGTGTGTGTGTGTGTTTCAGTTAAACTGTGTGTGTGTGTTGTGTTTCTGTTAAACTGTGTGTGTGTGTTTCAGTTAAACTGTGTGTGTGTGTTTCAGTTAAACTGTGTGTGTGTGTGTGTGTTTCTGTTAAACTGTGTGTGTGTGTTTCAGTTAAACTGTGTGTGTGTGTGTGTTTCAGTTAAACTGTGTGTGTGTGTGTGTGTGTTTCAGTTAAACTGTGTGTGTGTTTCAGTTAAACTGTGTGTGTGTGTTTTCAGTTAAACTGTGTGTGTGTTTCAGTTAAACTGTGTGTGTGTGTGTGTTTCAGTTAAACTGTGTGTGTGTGTTTCAGTTAAACTGTGTGTGTGTTTCAGTTAAACTGTGTGTGTGTGTGTGTTTCAGTTAAACTGTGTGTGTGTGTGTGTGTTTCAGTTAAACTGTGTGTGTGTGTGTGTGTGTTTCAGTTAAACTGTGTGTGTGTGTGTTTCAGTTAAACTGTGTGTGTGTGTGTGTGTGTTTCAGTTAAACTGTGTGTGTGTGTGTGTGTGTTTCAGTTAAACTGTGTGTGTGTGTGTGTGTGTTTCAGTTAAACTGTGTGTGTGTGTGTTTCAGTTAAACTGTGTGTGTGTGTGTGTTTCAGTTAAACTGTGTGTGTGTGTGTGTGTGTTTCAGTTAAACTGTGTGTGTGTGTGTGTGTTTCAGTTAAACTGTGTGTGTGTGTTTCAGTTAAACTGTGTGTGTGTGTTTCAGTTAAACTGTGTGTGTGTGTTTCAGTTAAACTGTGTGTGTGTGTTTCAGTTAAACTGTGTGTGTGTGTGTGTGTTTCAGTTAAACTGTGTGTGTGTTTCAGTTAAACTGTGTGTGTGTGTGTGTGTGTGTTTCAGTTAAACTGTGTGTGTGTGTGTGTGTGTGTTTCAGTTAAACTGTGTGTGTGTGTTTCAGTTAAACTGTGTGTGTGTGTTTCAGTTAAACTGTGTGTGTGTGTTTCAGTTAAACTTTGTGTGTGTGTTTCAGTTAGACTGTGTGTGTGTGTTTCAGTTAAACTGTGTGTGTGTGTTTTCAGTTAAACTGTGTGTGTGTGTGTGTGTGTTTCAGTTAAACTGTGTGTGTGTGTTTCAGTTAAACTGTGTGTGTGGATGTGTGTGTGTGTGTGTGTGTGTGTGGATGTGTGTGTGTGTGTGTGTGTGGGGTGTGTATGTGTGTGTTGTGTGTGTGTGTGTGTGGTGTGTGTGTGTGTGTGTGTGTGTGTGTTTCTGAGTTGGTCCGGCCCAGATT